TTTTAATGTACTGTCAAATCAATACAATTCAACTTCTTAAGGAAGCTGCGAATGTGATTTTTAATAAGCTTGAACTTGAACTTGATAAGTTTACTGCAACATAAATTGAATAGGCCTATAAGCCTACTAACTTCTTTAAGGGGCAATGTAAAGCGAAAATATAGTTACTATAGACCTAATAGTATATGCTACTTCGTCTATTATAGTAATCATTTGCGACTATTTCCTTTTAATAACAGAAAGCTGTAGTAAATTAATAATACTACACTACCCGACAATCAGCTCAACAAAAGCAGCATGTAATATAATTTGATGAAACTTGTTAAACTTCATTTATTGTTGATATTATAAAATATGCCTATTTTCTTATATTTTTAGTCAACAAAACACTCAGTTCCTGCTGTCATTGGACATACAAAATTGAAGGAATTACCAAATGAATATTTTATCTGGGCCTTGGCTAGCCTCGTCTTCTTCCTACCGCTTGGAATTGCAGCGATAATTAACTCTAGAAAGGTAAATTATTATAAGAAATTACAAATCTCGAGCAGTTTAAATATTAAAATAAACTTGTTAGTTAGTCTTTAAAGGGTTGAGATTTGTCATTTCTTATATTAATAATCATGTAGTCGTTGGGTTGAAATAAATGAAATAAAATTTTTAGGGATCTATAAATGAAATTATGATTTAAGCAACAAGTGTCTACTATGTGCTTTCTTTCCTTATGTTCTTTCAAATTGTTTCCGTAATCGTATAATAATTGTAATAGTAAAAGTATTACATAAATAACGCCATCTCTCAAATATGTATGTCCGGTTTCAATCGCAGATGAATACTAAAGCTTGTCTCAAGTGAATATTGTGATTGTCAAGCGCTAATCTCCTTCTAAATGTTTAAATTTAGACATATTACACTATTGTGTTATTTTGGTTTATTCTATGGAACAACTTTACAAATATATAAACTTTTTGTTGTTGTAATCAATTGCTTTGATCTTGTAAACAATACCTAATGAGTTACTCTATTTGGCTTATGTGTATATTTATGTTCTTTATATTTTTTTTAAGGTTGCTCTATTATTTCGTAAAGGCGAATACGACTTATCAACTGCTGCGTCTCGTAGAACCAAGCTGTTTTCTGTAATTGCTACAGTTGTTGCTTTAAAGGCGACCGTTCTTGTTTTACTGATACTGGTTTGGCATAATATGTATCACCAACATCACCATACAACACAGTTATCTGTAGATTGAAAGTATAATGTAGGCCTATACCCTCTACACAATTCAATGTATTTTTTGCTAGTCAAATTCCTGGATTAAAGTATAGAATCGTTTACGAGAACAATTGTTCGTTTTTATTCTTGTCTGGAGGTAGTGTAAAGGCAACCGTGATAAATTCCATTGCAATTAATCTATTTATTTATTGTAACTGATACATGTACTTTTATT